TCACGGATCCGACCGTGCACTGAAAACCCAGGCAGTGCTGGTGGCTGTTTGCACCAGCAACCCCGTGAGTTTGGTCACGTAGTGGCTCTGTTTGCCATGAGACATTGGTGGCAGTGGCAGGACAGGGATGACGGCCAGGCAGAGCCCAGGGGACGGGCACATCCTGACTCCAGAGCGTCCGAGGGGAATTAGGGTGACAGAAAAGAGTCCTCAGCAGCCGTGCTCGGAGCCATCTGCACCCAGCCCAGCCCTGCAGTTGGCAGTTTCGACCCTAAAGGGCTCCTCTTCCCCTTCCTCCCCTCATGGCCCCTTTTTTCAGGTCCCAAAGGGAGCATGTGTGTGAGCAAATGCCTTGGCCGAGGTGCAGGGACTGCAAAAGGCAGCTGGGTTGGGGGGAGGCTGGGAGGAAAATATCCTGGCAAAGCTGCTCGAAGGGAAGGCAAAGAATCTGCCAAAATTTTTAGAGCCAAATATTATCCACCCTGTCTGCCTGTTACCTGCACCTCTCTTCACAGCACTGCCACTGGGGCAAGAGCCCAGAGGAAAAATACATCTTATTATTGGGACAAACTGGGTTCTGTCATCCCAAACAGACTATGGCATCTCTGTAGCCATGAGCAGATGGGCACTGAAGGATGCAAATCAATGTGGGGGGATGCAGAGGGGATGTTGTGGGATGCCAAGCCATGCAGATGAATGCATAGGGATGCATTGCACTGAGAGGATGCATAAGGAGCTCCTGATTGATGCTCTGGGGAACCTGTGAACACAGCAAAGGAAAGGTTTAACTCAGGAACCCAGAGCAGGGGGCTGGCAGCTGCTGCCTGATCCCCTGATGAGCACACGGACAACCCCAGGCAGGGCAGAGCAGCAGCCACCACCTTGGCTGTGAGATGGCAGCTCACAGCTCCGTGTCTGGAGGTGTTTGAGAGCCACACTGCAACCCCAGGGGCTGTGGGAGGGGTGATGCTGTTGGGGCCACAAAGGGCCAGACCTTGGGGCACACGGCTGAGGAGACCGGGCTCCAGTCCAGCACACACCGAGGATTCTAAAGCAGAAACCACACTGCCTGATCCCTGCTCAGCGAGGAGGGACAAACCACCCCCAAGTGCTTCTCACTTCCCTCTTGAAGGTCACCAGGGTGGAAACTGCAAGTCTCTGGCTGCTATTTACAGAGGTGAGTTTCCCCTGCAAAACCCCGAGAGCTGGAGGGCTTGGGCCACTGCTCCAGGGCCATTGTTCAGGGGCCATGCTCTGCCACACTCAACCAGCCCAGGCAATGCCAAAATCACAATTTCCTTCACCATCAGCTTTATCTCTGCACGGAAATGGGCCCCAGGCTCTGCCCTCTGCCCGGGCACAGCATGAATGAGATGACTCTGCACATGGACAGCCACCAGCTGCCTGCAAAGGTGCATTTCCTCCCCCAGCCCTTGCACCACACAACTCCCCTTCCAGTGCCTCTGCCTTCCACTCCCTCCCAGGACACTCCACACATCTTCCCAGTGGGACATTCAAACCCAGAACAATCCCACCCCTTTCACCAGATGCACAGCCACACACGTGGCACAGTGCTGGAGTTGCAGAGTCCCTCTGGCCACGGTGCCTCCTCTCCTGGTCCTCACTCCAAGCCCTGCGGTCCATGGGATGGTGCCGATGCTGCTTCCGTCCCTTCTACAGGATCCAGGATGTGATGGGCCACGTCCAGCCATGAGCTGCTGTGTTCCTCTGCTTTGGGCTGTGATCCCTGTGAGCAGGTTCAGCTTCTGATGTCCCTGCAATGGACACAGTAGGAAAACATCCTTCTGATGAGTTGCAGCTCGCCGTGGCAAGCACGAAGTGGGAGTTTTTGAACCGAACAGAAAAACCCTTGATGCTGCTCCACTGGCATTTATAGTAACAGATATTGCTGTTTCCTTCCTCATTCAGCAGTTTCTGCAGAAAGGTCCCACTGGACTGAGCTGAGTCACTGCTCCACTGTGCTCCCAGGGCCCTGTGCCCCTTCCCCGCACCACAGACACGGCACAGCCCTGCCCAGCACCTCTGCAGGAAACAGGGAGAATCCTCTGGAGGCTTCCAGCAGCACAGAGGCGGCTCTTTCCCACTGTGAAACCAAGCTGTGTTATTCATGCTTTGTGCCTTGAGCCCAGTCAGGACCTTGGTTGCTCAGGCAGGACATAGCACAGCTCTCCTGCCTCCCAGCCATGGATGCACCAGAGAAAATCAGTATTTAAAGTATCTTATTGGGGCCCACAAGATGAACTGTGAGCAGGAGACAAAACAGTGGTGTGGGCTGACCACCCTTTGGACAGGGAAAGAGATGCTTGGTCCCCACAGCTGCCTCCTCCACAGAGCAAAACATCCTTCTCTGTGGAATAAAACATCCCAATGGCACAGGCTGCCCAGGGCAGTGGTGGAATCACCATCCCTGGAGGGATTTAAAAGGCATGTAGATGTGGCACTTGGGGACATGGTTAGTGGTGAACATGGCAGTGCTGGGTTAAGGTTGGACTCGATGATCTTAGAGGTCTTCTCCAAACCTAATAATTCTGGGATTCTATTGCAGCCAGATGATCCAAGGGCTGGTGCCACAGAGCCCCTGTCCCTCCAAGCCCCTCTGAAAGGTGGCTGCCCGGCCCAGGACACCTGTCCCTGCTCCCGCTGACACATCAGCCCGCAGTGTCCCTCCCACCGTGACCCGCACTCCCGGCAGCCCAGGGACCCGACGAGCCAATGCAACGCGCTGGGTGTGTGGCCGATTTGCATGGAAGGGATAAGGGGAAACCCCAGGAAATGCACAGCCCAGGCATTAATCAAATCGGTCTCTAATAATAAACCCCCCAAGCCATGCAGGGGTCCGGGGCTGGAGCTCGTGGTGCCATGGCAGGAGCCGAGGGGGATTAGACACCGTGGGAGAGTCAAACGTGAGTCACCCCATGGAGGGGCTGCACGGGGAGATGGGGGTGAGGGGCTGGTCTGTGCCAGGGCTTGGGGCTCGGCCACGTTCCCAGAGTGCCGGCAGGGAGTGGAGGGTCTCCTCAGGTCCTTGCTGGAGGAGCAGAGCCACCACAAAGGGCTCCCACCCTGCTGAAGTGGTCAGTGCTGGGGGGCTGGAGGTGGAATCACAGAATGGTTTGGGTTGGAATGGATCTCAAAGCTCATCTCGTTCCCCCCCCCTCGATGGGCAGGGACACCTTCCACTAGCCCAGGTTGCTCCAAGCTCCGTCCCACCTGGCCTTGAACTTCCAGGGAAGTGTGGGAAACCACAGCTTCTCTGGGCAACCTGTGCCAGTGTCTGACCACTCTCACAGGGAAGAATTTCTTTCTAATAACTAATCTAAATCTACCCTCCTTCAGCCTAAAGTCATTCCATCTTGTCCTATGGTCAGCTGATGCTTGGGATGCAGGATCCATGGGGGAATTCAGGGTGCTGGTCTCTAATGGGTGGAGGGACAGAGAGGCAGATGCACCTGGCTCTGCTGGAAAACCCACGGCTGCAAAGCCCGGCTGCACCGTGCTGGGAGCACCATGTGCATCCTGGGGGTCTCCCGGGAGGGGAGCTCAGCCATCAGGCAGGATTTGTCCTAGATAGGGCCAAACATCTCCTTGGACCTGCCCTCGGAGCAGCTGGGAAGGAGGTTCACAGTCTGCATCCCCCTGGCTTCGACACAGCCCCAAACCTCTGTTTCCCATGCGATTATCCCTTGGGAAACTCCACCTTGGGTCAAGGATGGCTGAGGCTGCCATTCCCAGGGTTCACTGCCATCCCCAAGGACTCCTGACATCCCCAGGGCTTCCTGTAACTCCCAAGGGCTTCCTGCCATCCCCAGGGATCTTGTCATTTTTTCCTCTCTGGATATAAAGTATCTTCAAAGAGCACTGGAGGAAACCACCTCCCTCTGCCCTGGGGATATCTCCAGCCAGCTCGACAGAAAGTCATTATTTAATTTTATAGCAATGTTAATTGAACAACTGGGAAGATAAGGCCGGCATCCCTGTGCTGAGAGAGGATTTATCCCTGGGAATGGGAGGGTTTTACCTGTGCTGCCTCAGGTAGGAGCCGGCCGGCAGCGGAGGACGCGCATCCACAGCCCCTCTGCAGGGTGGGAGATGGCAGGACAGACGGACGTGCAAAGTGCCCAACCTCTGCACGCTCCCGAGTTCTAGAGAGAGAGGAGAGATCCTGGAGGAGCGCAGGGGATTTTCTGGGTAAAATCCCAAGCCTGGCTTTGCCAAGGCAGTGGTGCAGCCTTTGGGCAGGCAGGGGCCAATTCTGCACCTTTGGAGAGTTTTAACCCTTTTGGGCCCCGTCGGCACCGGCATCACCCACCGGTGCAGGAAACAGCTGCGGCTCCTGGCACAGTTCTGCTAAGGGATGTGGTGTCCCACGAGCCCTCTCGGTCAGCAAAGAGCACATTTCCACCACGGCCGCCCCCGTGCTGGGTTAGAGCTTCCTGCAGCTGCTCCGTGGCTGCAGACCCCGCACGTGGCGTTAACCTGGCACGGTGCTCATCAAGTGTAAGTTGTTGACCAGATTTTTGGGCTGCTGAGGGCTGCTCATGCCTCGTTTCTGTGTCTTTGGTGTCACACCCAGCACACATGGGCACTGGGAGCACCGTGGCAGGGGATGGTGGGGCAAACAGCCCGTCACAGGGACAGGAGCACGTCCACCTCCAGGCATCCCAGGTGGCACTAAAGCTCTCCTGGGGACACGTCCCTCCTGCTGCTTCGGAGAGTCTTACACATCAGATGGGGTTTCACTGTGATGCCATAACACCCAAGAGAGATGTCAGAAATGACACACGAACCACCTCAGAGCCACAGAGGAATTCAGAAGTTTCCAGAACTAAAATTTGTTTCGGAAAACGTCACCAGTGCTCACTTGGGTCGTGTTTCTGGTCCCCCTGTGAGTGATCCCAGCCCTAGAAAGGGATGAGGTGGCTGCAGAGCAGCCCCGTGGTGGCCACCCTGTACCTACCTGTGCCTCTCGTTCCGCAGCCATGGATGGGACACGTGTGGGGCGGGATGCCATGAACAACTGCACCGACCAGGAGTACTGGGACACCCTCGTTTCCCAGTGCATCCCCTGCAGCCTTGTGTGTGGCCGGCCCACAGCCAGGAGGTGTGATGCCGTGTGCGGTGAGTGCCAGCAGGGCGGTCACCGGTACCACGGGGCTGTTCTGGGATGGAGCAGGCAGGGATGGGGCAAAGCTGGGAGGGAGGATCAGACCCTGGGATGAACCCCAGGGTAGGCTCTGAGCCAGCTCAGCTTAGCAGAACTTTGGGCCAAAAATGCGGGACTTTTCGGCTCAAAAAATGAGCCAAAATGTTGCAAAAATGCAACGGCTTCCCAGCAATGGGCTGAGGCTGGCACTGGCTCAGCACAGACCAGGATGGAGTTGCCCACCACACTGCTTGCTCCCTTCTGGGGTCACAGGGCTGCATTAACACTCATGTCCCCCACTGGTGTCACCCCACCCTCCAAAGGCAGGGCCTGGAGAGCCATCAGGTTCAGTGGATGTGGATAATGATAAACCCAAGTTGTAGGTCTGTGAGGCTGAATCGTGGGCCTTGAGCTGGTACAGGCTCTGAGGTGTCATGTAACAGGTGGGGAGGAGGAAAAGGGACAGATGCACTTTGCACCCAGACCCTGTGCAGTGCCCCTTCCCTCCCTGGTGAGCCACAGTCTGGGATGGCTCCACCCTGTCCCAGGGCTCAGGGGACACAGCCCTGCACACGCAGCCACAAGTCACGTCTCTCTGTTGAGGACAGAGATGCCACCCCCAGCATTCTGAGCCGGGGCTCAGGCAGGTTTTGGTATGTCCCAAAAAGCTGTGCAAGCCCCAGGGCAGCAGCAGCTCTAAGAGCAGCAGCCAGGAGCTCCCAGCTGCAGGTGGGTACAGTTGGCTGCAACCATTCCCTCCCTGTGCAGCTGCCAGCAGATGCCTTTCCCCAGTATTCACCACCCAGCCAAACACCACCCCAAATCCCGTGGATCTGTCACCCTGCCAGTCCTGGAGAGGTTGTCCATGCTTATGCCAGTGCATCGGAACCGTGAGCTTGGGCTCGTCCTCTCAGGAATCCGGGTGCCCAGGGGTGCTGGGAGGGTGGTTTGGGAGCCTCGTGTGGGAGGATGTGCTGAGGACACCGTGTTCATCTCCCTCCTCTCCTGCAGAGTCCATGGACTGCAACAAGAGCCCTGGATTCTACTACGATGACCTCGTGAGAAGCTGCATCGAGTGCAGCACCATCTGTGGGCAGCACCCCAAGGAATGTGCCCCGTCCTGCGAACGTGAGTGCTATGGGGAGGGACCGGGGGCTGGGCTGGAAGAGGAGCCGGGTTACAGGACTGAGGTTGGGGAAGGGGCAGCAAAGCCCACCCTGCTCTTCATCCTGGGAGGGGGGGGATGCAGTGCCTTTTCCCTGTGTGCCAGTGATTTACAGGCCTGTCAGCTCCACCAGCCAGGGCAGGACTGGCAGCTGCAGATCCCACCTGGCTGAGCCGCCCCCAGCCCTCAAGGAGGGGGAGTGAGAAGGGACTGGTAGATCCCAAGACCTACAAGTCCCACACGGGGGTTGAGACAGTGAAATGATCCCTGGAGGTGGGGGAAGGCTGTGCACGGGGTGTGGGAAGGGATCTCCTCTATCTCACCCTGGAAGAGAAATGCCAGCAGACAGAGGGGTACACAGCTGCCCTCAGATTATTTCCCAGTGGAGAGCACGAGTGTTATCAAAAGTCAGTGAGGGAATCACGTACCCGAGGAGTGTCTGAGCTCACCCACCTCTGCCTGACCCGCAGCCTCTCCCCCGTCGCCCGCGGCCGTGCTGGAGCAGAAGGCGTGTGCGGAGCAGGAGCCGTGGCTCGTGGTGTATCTGCTGCTGGGGCTCTGCCTCTGCGCCCTCATCTGCTCCCTGCTCCTGGGCTGGACACACCTCCGCAGGAAGGGAGAGGTGGGCTCCTGCCAAGCCGGCGCTGGGACCTGCCACTGCAGGGAGGACTCTGCCAAAGGTGGGTGCTGGATGTACTGGGGGGACTGGGAGAGGGTTGTGGGCAGGCTCAGGCTCCCAGGTACTGCTGGAGGGGCAGGAAACAGAGCCAGATCCTGAGAGGGAGAGGGAGATAAAGTAAAGCCAGTGATGGGCAATGCCATTCAGCCTGAGCCTGGAAGGGGAGCAGGACTGGACCCCTGTGCCCCAATCCTCCTCCATAATCCCCTTCTCAGTCACTCCTGACGAAGTCCCAGGCACAGCTTCCTGCTGCCACATGGGGCTGGAGCTGGACCATCCACCAGCACCTCTCCACTCTCCATCCAGAAGCCAACCCTCTTCCAAAATGAACCACCTATCCCAGGAAGACCCAGTTTTAGCTCTGGAGCCAGAGGGGCTTTCACAAGTCCTTGCATTAAGGAGGAAAAATAGTGAAAGGAAAACGTGGAGGAATCCAACATGGAAAAGGAGTTTTTATTCTTCCTCCTCTTCTCCCCTGCCTTTCCAAAAAAATTGTCTACTTACCAATTTCTCTACACACACGGTGCTGGGACCTGCCTGTCCTCTCCAGTTCCAGGCCCAGCTCCTCATGGGTTTTAGTGCAGCCCTTTGGAGCATTGCTTAGGTAAAAGCTGCTCCTAAAAACCCCTCAGCTAACACAGTTTCTCTGCAGATCGGCTGGTGGAAGCGGGCAGCGTTGGTGAGGGATTCACTGGCAGCAGAGCTCCAGAGCCAGTGGAAACCTGTGGCTTCTGCTTCCCTGGACATGGCTCTGCTGTACAAGAGACCAAATCATGCCACAGCACCTTGTGTCACGCTGGGGAAAGAGCTGCTCCCTCCTACACCGGGATCTGCAGCACGGGAAGCGCTGGGGCCGCTCCCAGCCCTGACGACGGCCACTTCAAGTTTTTTTGTTCTCCTTCCCAAGAGAAGACACCCATGGTGTGACCACAGTGGATGTTCCTGCACAGGATCAGAATGGAGGGGTGCTCCCTCTGCCCCCAAATCACAGTTGCTTCACCCTCTGCTGCCAGTGACTGGAACAGCTTCTACCCGGACTGGCTGACCCAGCTCAGGCTTTGCCAGGAGCTGAAGGATAAAGTGAAGGCTGGAGGTTGCACAGGGCTGTTTGCTCCCACTCAGGAAGTTAAAATCTCTTATTCTTGTGCACTCCCAGTGAGTGACAGAAGTCACTTCTCATTTAGCAGCACCTGACTTCATCCTCCCTCTTGACCTCCACAGACCCTCCCTTGTGTCCCAGCCATTGGGAGGGATGTCTCGTGGGGGCTCTTCATCCTGGTCCCACCATCAGTGACACTTTGTCCACCAGTCCCCACGGACAGCTCACCTTTCCCTGCTTGGAATCTCCACTGTGCACCGGAACAATTTACAGCAGAGCTGTAAATACATCAAACATGGACTTGGATCCAAGGAGTTACTGGTTGAAGCTACAAGGATGCAGGGTGGAAAGCTCCACTGCCAGCTTCCAGCACTGCTTGGGAAGGGAGAACAGGTCAGTGCTGAAGGTGAGGCTTTACCTCATGACAGGACATGAGGAGCTGGGACAGGCACCAAAATCCTCAGTGGAATTTGGTTTAAATGTGGAAGCTCATCCAAGGCTGAGAACTTTCTAAAACACTGGATCTACATATGTTTGCTTTGGGTTACTCCAAATAGCTGTTAAAAGTGAGGAACCAGCTGCAGATTGAGCTGCTTCAAGGGAATATTTTTATCTGACCTGGCTTTGAAAGCTACCATAGAAAAATAAGGATTTCAACATGTAACTTGAAGTTCTCATCTCAAATAAAGGAGAGTGTAGAAATATTTTGCTTGGTGAGGAATTGCTCTTGGTAGGAGCTCATCCCTTCCACTTTCTCAAACTAAAACTTCAAGTTTGGAAGAATAAATGAGTCAATATATGTACAAACTGGCACTGGGAAAGCTGGAGAAAGCACGAGCAGAGGGTTATAAACAGACTCTGTCCCTTACATATTATGTATTTCTTTAAATGTAAATGCTTTTTTCTCATTAAAAAAGGCATCACTTGGGAGGGTGAGCCTTTCACTCTGGTCACCTCCCACACTCTCTCAGTACCAACAGTCCATTGGCCTTCCAACCTCCAGGCCTCCTCTATCTCCCACTCTCTCAATGTGAAGACCCTCTTGGCCTCCCCTCTCACATTGCTACCTTCCCTTTCCACTGGGGCCTCCAATTCCACAGCATCATCTTCCATAGCCTTAGCTCCCTTCTGTGGAGTCTGCTCCAACAGGCTCTGCTCTCATGCCATCAGTTCCTGTGGTCTCCAGACTTGTGGTTTCCTGCCCCACAACCTCAGCTCCCAGAGTCTCCAACACCTTGGCCCCAAAACCTGTGGCATCATTAGCATCCCAGTTCCTCTAGACCTCAAGTGTCTTCCAGCCCCAGAAGTTACCTTGGCCTCCACCCTTGTTCAGCCTCAGCACTCCCTTAGCCTCAGTTCTTTCTCATTCTGCATCTTTGCATAGACTAATCTCTCCTTCAGCCTCCCCAGTCTCTCGGTTTCTGTTCCAGCTCAGCCTCACTCTTTCTTGCCTTTCCACCATCTCCTGCTCTGCTGTTTGTCTCCTACACCCTTCAGTCTCCCCCTGCATTCTTGCTCAGCCTCTGCTCCTGCTCTCTGTCAGGTTCCTGTTTGTGCTCAGACCTCCAAAGCCTCTTGGTTTCTCCTCACCCTCCACTCCTGCTGTGTCCTGTTCCCTCTGTGCCTCCTACAGCACCACATCCCCCACTCTCCCTGGGGGCTCCACCAAGCCTGAACCCCCTCAGGTGGAGCCTCCCCAGCACCAACAGCATCTCTTCCTCCTCTTGGTTTCCCTCCCCTGCAGCCTGTCCCCCCGTCAGCCTCTGCAGGGTGAATCCCAGAATGGTTTGGATTGGAAGGGATCTTAAAACTCATCTTGTTCTGCCCCCTGCCCTGGCAGGGACACCTTCCACTAGCCCAGGTTGCTCCAAGCCCTGTCCAACCTGGCCTTGGACACTTCCAGGGATGGGGCAGCCACAGCTCTTCTGGGCAACCTGTGCCAGGGCCTCCCCACCCTCACAGGGAAGAATTCCTTCCCAATATCCCATCTAACCCTGCCCTCAAGTCAGTGGAAGCCATTCCCCCTTGTCCTGTCACTCCATGCCCTTGTCCCCAGTCCCTCTCCAGCTCTCCTGGAGCCCCTTTAGGCCCTGGAAGGGGCTCTCAGGTCTCCCTGGAGCCTTCTCTTCTCCAGGTGAACACCCCCAGCTCTCCCAGCCTGGCTCCAGCCCTTAGAGAATCTCCCTGGACTCCTCTGGACTCGCTCCACAGTTCCACTTCCCCCTCATGTCAGGACTTCCAGAGCTGGAATCAGTGCTCAAGGGGAAGGGGTTTTGCACCTACCTTGGGGCAGCACCAGCACATCCTTCCCTTGCATCGGGACTGGGAAAGCTCCCAACTCTGTGTCCCCTCTGCCCAAGCACTTCCCAGTGAGGATGGAGGTTCCAGGAGAAGGAAAACCCTCATGAACAGAAGGGGTGTCTCATCACACTGCCCCTCCCCAGCAGGGAGGTCCCGTGGGCAGCACTGGGGACATGTGGCTTTAGCCCAGCTCTGGCGGCCTGTGGACCTTCAAGTGTCACCTCCAGGATCCCCCAGCCACGGCTGTGCAAGGAAATTCAGAACCTTATTTAAAACCAGGATTTAAAACCTGAACCCGTGCCACCGGTTTTGCAATTAGGGCATCCCTCGAGGATCAAGAGGCATCAATTATTCAAAGGAGAAAGCTTTTAGGGAAGTGTTTGTGCCAGCGAGCGCCAGAGCTCACCCTGCGTGGCACCGGCAGCTCCTGCTCCGGCTGGCCCAGGAGGCCACTCACCTTCTCACACCCAGGCAAAGCCCATGTTGGGACAGGGCTGTTCCTCCTGTCACCAGGTGGCCCAGTGTCCCAGAAATTGGGGAGAACACTATCAGAAGCCAAGTGCTTTCCTCCTGCCCTGGGAGCAATCCCTCACCCTCCCCTCCCTGAGGGAATATAACTACAGTTATCAGCAGAGAACAGGTAACACAGAGCACCTTGAACAAAGCAGCAGTGAGAGTAATACACATCCTTAGTGCTGGAGAACCAAGAGGAATCAATGGATTTGGTATCACATCTGCAGCCATTGGCCAGCAGCTCCAATGGATCACACCTGGAGACACCACTTCCAATACTAGGACATTGTCTGTATGGAACACAAACAGTTCCAGCTGGGTGAGTCACACTAAATGGAATTAAGGGCACTAATTCTGAGCAGCAAGAGCACCCACCCATTCTCCCATTTCTGCTTTTTCCATTGGGCACCAGCATCAGGCAAAGCTTTGGCTACAGTCGAATGGCTGAGGGTCAGGAACATACACCTAAAGCCATTTTCTGGGTATTTTTGTGCCCCATGTAGGGCTCTGTTCACTGCTGGCAGGTCACAGAACACACAACCACCATGAGCCTGCATCACTGCACCAGCCTTTGTTTCCAGTCATTTCTGCAGATGCCTCCTCCCAGCAGACCCAGCTGTGTCGATATGAAATGTGTCTCAAAGCAAACAAGTCAACCCCAAACTGCTCCCTGAGATGAGGAGGGTGAGCAGCTGAAGCAGCAGAGTTGTCACTCGAGGAGGAGGCAGCCTGTCACTGCTGTCTGTCAGCACATCGGGGAGGCTCCGCTTCACTCGTGCTCTGCGTTTTCCTACAGGAGACGTTGAGGGAGTTCCAGAGAAACCTCCCGGCTCCCCAGGGAATAACTCAGCACAGGAGCTGCACGGCTGCTTCTGAAGGGATGGAGGGCAAGAGAAGGCTGTGTTTGAGAGAAAGAAAGCAGCAGGGTTCATAAGACAGCAGCTGCTCTTCCATTTTTATAGGAAAAGGGAAAATGCTCTCCCCTCCTCTCAGAACCTGCGCTGATTTACTGCTGCTGGAAACAGGACTGTGCCTGGTACAATCTGGGGAGGGACACGGAGGGTGGGATGGCAGGCAGGGAGGGTGGGGGGGAAGAAAAGAATAAGAGCTTTTAATACACCAGGAATTCTGCTTTTGAAACCAGAAAGAGCCCTGAAAGGTCCCCCTGAAAAACCATCTGCATCGGTGCAGTTGCACAGAGCAGAGCCCCCTTCACCAGATGGGCGGGGAGGAAAAAGCTAATGGTGATTTATACATCTGGCCTCGTCCCTGAACAGTTTGTTTCTAAAGGCTTAACAAAGCAGGCTGCAGTCGCTCCGGTGGCCGGGCGTGTGCCGTGCAAGAATTCATTAAGAAGGCAGCCAAAGGCTCAGACCTCGGCGCCACAAAGCGAAGGCTCCGGAGTCCTCCTGGCAGCCCGCGCGGTGGCACTGCTCCTCTGCTCCTCTGCTCCTCCGCTCCTCCGCTCCTCCGCTCCTCCTCCGGCTGCAGGACCGGCGGGAGCGCCAATGCAGCAGCCCTGGGAACGAGGAGAGGCTGATCTCGCCCTCCTCTGCAAGCCTGCTGCATTATTAAAAGGTAGCGGAGAGCGTCGTCAGGCATCTGCACGATCCCGCGCCCGATTCCAGGGGGGAAGGAAGGAGGGGCCCCCCTCCTGCGGGTGCGCCAGCCATCCGCATTTCTCCAGCCATTTTCCATTCGCGACAGGAACGCTCCGGGTAAACTGTGCAGCCCCCCAGTTACAGCTGGGAATTCTCTGAGGCACGATGGGTTACACAGGCAGGGGACGGGATGGCGACCCCCCCACCACACCCAGCGCTCTGGGTCTCAGCTGGCATTCGAGGTGCTTCAATTCCTTGCTCCTTCCTCCTTCCCCGTTGCAAGCTGTCGCAGAAATCTCTTGATGCACAAAACCTCCTCGTACTCTTCCAGTCTGTGTGCAAATCAAAAGAACTTCACCGCCCTTTTGTTCAGCTGCTCTTGCAAGATGCTCATTCAAAAAACAAACATGCTCAATTC